TGAGCCGAGATCGCGCCATTGCACTCTAGCCTGGGAAAAAAGGGAAACCCCCCTTCCAAAAAAAAAAAAAAAAAAGAGTGCATAGAGATAAAAATATTTTGAGGTAGGGAGGCATGCATTCCTCCATGGACCAGCTGCCTGAATTACCCTCTGCAGTCATCTATAGGCCAGCTGGGGTCACTGTCCTTTAAAATTTAAGTACAATTGACTCCAAACCCGTGTACCACTTAAGCAACCCAGCATACCTGCCAATATCTCCAGAGTTTCATTGGGAACTTACATTTCTCCTAATTATCTCAGGCCCTAATTTCTTGTTTTCAAAAAATGTTGTGCTTTTTGGAAGCTTTGTCACCATATTCCATTCGTATTACCTCAGAATATTGCACCTACCTATAAGGAAGAAAAATGCCCAAAATTATAGTATTATATTATATTGTTATATGATTGTTAAATAAACTAGAGTTTGTGACCATTAAAAGTCATGGAAAAGAAAAAGTTGTAATGATGTGGGAAATCTTTATAATTAAAAGCACGTTATAAGGTGATATAGCAGATGGTAATATATAAATATAGATAAATATGTATAATGCATAGATTTTTAAATGAGACTTTTCTTCTGTGACATGTGTATTTTCTTATTTTTATAGTGCCTTTATATATCTCCTGGAAGCAGGAAAATGGTATCTTTAAGTAGCTTTTTAAAGTTTTGTTTGTTTTTGAGATGGGAGTCTCACTCTGTCACCAAGGTTGAAGTGCAGTGGCATAGTCTCAGCTCACTGCAACCTCTGCCTCCTGGGTCAAGCAATTCTCCTGCCTCAGCCTCCTAAGTAGCTAGGATTACAGGCACATGCCACCATGCCCAGCTAATTTTTATATTTTTCACAGAGGTGGGGTTTCACCCTGTGGCCGAGCTGGTCTCAAACTTCTGACTCCAAGTGATCCAGCTTCCTTGGCCTCTGGAAGTACTGGGATTAGAGGCATGAGCCATCACGCCCAGCCTAGCTTTTAAAAGTATTTTTAAGAAAGGTATTTTTAAAAATATATTTATGGGGTTCAAAAGAAAAAGATATTAGGGCTGGGCATGGTGGCTCATGCCTGTAATTCCAGCTGCTTGGGAGGCCGAGGCTGGCAAATCACCTGAGGTCGGGAGTTCGAGACCAGCCTGGTCAACATGGTGAAATCCCATCTCTACTAAAAGTACAAAAAGTTAGCTGGGTGTGGTGATGAGCCTGTAGGCCCAGTTACTTGCGTGGCTGAAGCATGAGAATCGGTTGAAGCCAAGAGGTGGAGGTTACAGTGAGATGAGATTGCAATACCGCACTCCAGCCTGGGCAACAGAGTGAGACTCTGTCTCAAAATAAAAAGGAAATGATATTAGGACTCGGGAAAGGAATTTGGAAATGGATCTTTGAAGTGTAGATGGGACTTTAGCATGTAGAGATGGGCTGGGTGAGGAGACTGTCCTAGGTAGAAGGAACAGTACAACCAAGAACCCAGAGTGAGAAATAGGTGGAGTATTCAGAGAGGAATACTCTGAATATTCCTCTCTGAATACTCCACCTATTTCTCACTCTGGGTACTTGGTTGTACTGTTAGATAATTTTGATACAGTCCTACCTTACCTTTCCACACTGATTCCCTTACTTTTTTTCTACACCAATCCTGTACTACACCATTCCTGCGACCTCCTCCTCCTCCTCCCGGGTTCAAGTGATTCTCCTGCCTCGGCCTCCCGAGTAGCTGGGATTACAGGTGCCGGAGTACAGGATTGCTGTAGAAGAAAAGTAGGGGAATCAGTGTGGAAAGGTAAGGTCGGACTGCATCAAAAATGGTCCTGACTGTCAAGCTGAAGCCTTTGTCCTTTGCATGTCAGGAAGAACCACTGAGCCTTGAACAGTACAGGTAATAAATTTGGAGATAAATTGTCCTGTAATCTCTTACTCAATGAGGTTTTAGGTCTTAACCCTTCAGTCCTAGTATTTGGACATTTGATTGACCCAGAGCAATGAGTTAGGCACAACAGTCTTTGCATTCTAGCTGTTTACAGACTGAAAATTGGGCCTTGCTTCTCTGGCTATTAATTACTACAATTTCTGTTCACCATTCAGCAGAGTTTCAGAGAGGGAACAAATTAGCAAAGGGCAAAAACGAAAGGAAAAAGAAATGTGCACCTTAAACTAGTGCTTTGAAAACTTTTTTGACTGCAGTCCCCTGTAAGAAATATATTTTACATCTCAACTCAGAACATATGCATGCCTACCCCCACACACACACACACACACACACACAGACACACACAGACACACACACACACACACCTGTGAGACAAAAGTTTCATGAGATACTACCCTTATTTTACGAAATGCATTCTGATATTTTCAACTGATTAATCTTACTCTTTTTAAATGCTGATTAGGACCTGCTACATTGATTCCATAACCCACTGCTGGGTCACAAAGGACATTGAAATAGGCTCAACTATAGCCAAATAGCCTGCACCCTTAAGCTTGCCATGTTTACATGTCCCAGAAATCAACAGGACAGACAAGACTCTCCCAAGATGATGGGGAGGGGTGGGATGTAAGGATTGGCAGGAGCTATGTTTGGGATTCTCTTTCCTTCTCAGTATATATTTCCTAATATCAATATTTCTCAGGGGCTATAAATATTTTCTTCTTTGTCCAACTCAAATACAGACTGAACTTCAAACAAGACAGACCAGAGACAATTTTTTATTTGAATAAACAGAATCCTGGACTAAAAAGGAAAAGTAATATGTCTTGATTGTAACTTTTATCTTAGTTGCGATAATACATTAAAGCCATCTTATCCAACACTGTTGGAATATTTTAAGGGCAATAAGTATAATCTCTTCCTTATAAGTTTGGAAGCAATGAAAAGATGAAAATATCAACTGTATTCCCAATAAAGCTGAACTGAAGAATGTGGCTTGGATGGTGGCCAATAAGCTTTTAATATATTTTTCCCTGAATTAAAATTATTTCCAGCCAGGCATGATTGTTCACACCTGTAATTCCAGCACTTAGAGAGGCAGAGGTGGAAGGATTGCTTGAGCCAGGAGTTCAAGACCAGCCTGAGCAACATAGCAAGACCCTGTTCTCCATAAAAAGGAAATATATACATAAATTTTCCCCAAACCTCCATTCTCCCCTTTTCAGAGGCTTAACAATATTAACCATGTCTAATTAGAGAAGTTTGCACTCACTCTTAGGTCAGGCAGATCTGAATTCAACAATTAGGTAAGTATCTCCTGGAAGAATCAGAACAAATTCACTCCTACCTGTCCTTCTATGGAAACAAAAGTATTTAGGGATAAAGATTTACATCCCCTTCCCGACCCCTGATGCCCAAACAAATTAGACCTGGCCCAATAGTTCCTCTTTTAATTGGAAAAGTATATTTAAGTAGTGAATAACAACAAATGGTAAATATACACCCTAACGTTTCATTTTAACTTCAAAATTACAAAGAACACCCACTTGCCCTCCCAATCTTTAGACCTAGGACCAAACCTTTTTGGATTATTGTTCTTGAGCTGTCTTTCTTACGTAAATCATATCCACAGTGCATTTGTTGTTCTCATTTTTTAAAGACAGTCCCCTAGGCTAGAGGGCTAGAGTACAATGGTGTGACAATGACTCACTGCAGCCTCAACCCCCTGGCTATAAGTGATCCTCCCACCTCAGCCTCCCAAGTAGCTGGGACTGCAGACAGGCACCACCACACCTGGCTAATTACAAAAGCTACATATATTTGTAGAGACAGGGTCTCCCTATGTTGCCTAGGCTGCTCTCAAACTCTTGGCCTCCAAGCAATGCACTCACCCCCTCCCAAAGTGCTAGGATTATAGGTGTGAGCTACCACACCTGGCTTCCAAGTTGACTATGTACTTAAAACTTCTTACAAAGCAATATAAGTAGAGGACCCTTCTTTAAAAAAAAAAAAAAAGTTTGTAGTTCTCTTGCTCCCATCTGGTTTAATAGTAATTTCAACTGGTCTTTAGCTAATATTTTCAAAACATACAACTGGCATATCGTAGAGACAGCTCCTTCTTTTCAGGCTTATGTTTTATCTGTTTATGTAATTTTAATAAACTGATGAACTTAATAAATTTAATAAACTGATGAATAATAATTAAACTCTTTCATATAGCTGCTGTAAACAGGTTTAGGACCAAACACAACAGACTCTTGTTAGGCATGTGGCTCAACTGGCAGGAAAGAGTATGTAGCTATTCCAGAAAGTAAGCCACTAGTCCAAAGCATTTATCTGTTCTTGGACATTAGCAATATACTTGTTGGAAGGGAATGGAAAGTGTTGATTCCAGAGTCCATTAGAAGAACAGTTAGGCCGGGCACAGTGGCTCACGCCTGTAATCCCAGCACTTTGGGAGGCCGAGGAGGGAGGTCAAGAGATCAAGACCATCCTGGCCAACATGGTGAAACCTTGTCTCTACTAAAAATACAAAAATTAGCTGGGCGCAGTGGTGTGTACCTGTAGTTCCAGCTACTTGGGAGGCTGAGGCAGGAGAATCGCTTGAACTAGGGAGGTGGAGTCCGAGCTAGGGAAGAGATTAATAGGACATATGTCTGAGTTCAGTTGAAATGGAGCATTAAAAATTCTTTCACTATTGGCTCTTAGCCTGTATTTCTTTTTTGTAGCTAAACTACATGCATTAAACAAATAATTATTTGGTGCCTGTAATGTGCCAGGAACTGTGAGGCCCTGGGGATTTGGGAGGGAACAAAATTAACCTCCTCGGCCGGGCACAGTAGCTAATGCCTGTAATCCCTGCATTTTGGTACACCGAGGCAGGAGGATTGCTGGAGGCCAGGAGTTTTAGCCTGGGCAACATAGAGACGCTGTCTCAAAAAAAAAAAAAAAAAAAAAAAAAAAAACACCTAAAACCTAGGCATAGGGATATGTGCCTGTGGTTCTTGGAAGGTTGAGGCAGGAGGATTGCTTGAGCCCAGGAGTGGCTGAATTGACTACTTATACATAACCCCCTACCTAGTGCCTAATTTTGTGGTTTATCAGTTTCTTGTTCTTAATGTGTGTGTGTGTGTGTGTGTGTGTGTGTGTGTGTGTGTGTGTGTGTGTACATTTAGAGACAATGTCTTGCTCTGTTGCCCAGCCTGGAGTGCAGTGGCATAATCATGGCCCACTGCAGCCTCAGCCTTCCAGGCTCAGGCAATTCTCCCACCTCAGTCTCCTGAGTAGCTGAAACCACAGGCTTGCACCACCACACACAGCTAATTCTTGTTTGTTTCTCTTTAAATTTATTCATTTTTAATTTTATTTTTGTAAAGATAGTTCTCTCTATGTTGCCCAGGCTGGTCTCAAATTCCTGGCCTCAAGCAATCCTCCTGCCTTGACCTCTCAAAGTGCTGGGATTACAGGTGTGAGCTACTATACCCAGCAAAAATATTTTTATCTAAAAAAATTATTAAAAATTGTAAAATGGGCCAGTGGCTCACACCTGTAATCCTAACATTTTGGGAGCCCGAGGCAGACAGATCACTGAGGTCGGGAGTTCGAGACCAGCCTGACCAACATAGAGAAACCCCATCTCTACTAAAAATACAAAATTAGCCAGACATGGTGGCGTGTGCCTGTAATCCTGGCTACTCGGGAGGCTGAGGCAGGAGAATCGGTTGAACCCAGGAGGCAGAGGTTTCAGTGAGCCAAGATCGTGCCATTACACTCCAGCCTGGGCAACAAGAGTGAAACTCCATCTCATAAAAATAAATAGAATTGTAAAATGGGGGCTAGGCACATTGGCGCATGCCTGTAATCCCAGCACTTTGGGAGGCCCAGGCAGGTGAATTACCTGAGGTCAGGAGTTTGCGACCAGCCTGACCAATGTGATCTTTACTAAAAATACAAAAATTAGCCAGGCATGGTGGCACACACCTATAATCTCAGCTCCTTGGGAGGCTGAGGCAGGAGAATTGCTTGAACCCAGGAGATGGAGGTTGCAATGAGTCAAGATCATGCTGCTGCATTCCAGCCTGGGGGACAGAGCTAGACTCTGTCTCAAAAACAAAACAAAACAAAACAAAAACTAAAATGGACACAGTGGCATATGCCTATAATCTCAGTTACTTGGAAAGCTGAGATGGGAGAATCACTGAAGACCAAAAGCTCAAGTCCAGCCTGGGCAACATTGTGTGACCCCCTCTATCTTTTTTTTTTCCTGTTATCCTTTTTTAAAATTGTTATTATACTTGAAGTTCTGGGGTATATGTGCAGATCTTGCAGGACTGTTACATAGGTATACACATGCCACGGTGGTTTGCTGCCTCCATCCCCCTGTCACCTACATTAGGTATTTCTCCTAATGTTATCCCTCCCCAATCTCCCCACCCCCTGCTATCCTTCCCCTATCCCCCCACCCCCCAACAGACCCCAGTGTGTGCTGTTTCCCTCCCTGTGTCCATGTGTTCTCATTGTTCAACACCCTCATATGAGTGAGAACATGCAGTGTTTGGTTTTCTGTTCTTGCGTCAGTTTGCTGAGAATGATGGTTTCCAGGTTCATCCATGTCCTTTCAAAGGACATGAACTCATCCTTTTTTATGGCTGCATAGTATTCCATGGTGTGTATGTGCCACATTTTCTTTATCCAGTCTATCATTGATGGGCATTTGGGTTGATTCCAAGTTTTTGCTATTGTAAACAGTGCCAAAATGAACATATGTGTGCATTTGTCTTTATAATAGAACAATTTATAGTCCTTTGCATATATATCCAGTAATGGGATTGCTGGGTCAAATGGTATTACTATTTCTAGATCCTTGAGGAATCACCACAGTCTTCCTGAATGGTTGAACTAATTCACACTCACGCCAACAGTGTAAAAGCGTTCCTATTTCTCCACATCCTCTCCAGCATCTGTCTCCAGATTTTTTAATGATCACCATTCTAACTAGCATGAGATGGTATCTCAAAGTGGTTTTGATTTGCATTTCTCTAATGACCGGTGATGGTGAGTATTTTTCCATGTGTTTGTTGGCCGCATAAATGTCTTCTTTTGAAAAGTGTCTGTTCATATCCTTTGCCCACTTTTTGATGGGGTTGTTTTTTTCTTGTAAATTTGTTTTAGTTCTTTGTAGATTCTGGATATTAGCCCTTTGTCAGATGGTTAGCTTGCAAAAATTTTTTCCCATTCTGTTGGTTGCCAGTTCACTCTAATGATTGTTTCTTTTGCTGTGCAGAAGCTCTTAAGTTTGATTAGATCCCATTTGTCTATTTTGGCTTTTGTTGCCATTGCTTTCGGTGTTTTAGTCATGAAGTCCTTGCCTATGTCTGTGTCCTGAATGGTATTGCCCAGGTTTTCTTCTAGGGTTTCTATAGTGTTAGGTTTTGTGACCCCCTCCATCTCTTAAAAAAAAAATTAAAAGGGCTATGATCACACCATTGCACTCCAGCAATATTTGTATGCATGTGTGTACACACACACACACATATATATAAATTTTTGAAAACTAGAAAACCAACTGAGTGCAGTAACTCACATCTGTATTTTACATATATATAAAAATTTGTATACATACATACACACACACACACACACACACATCCATACATGTTCCCAAACATATTTTGTTAATTTTAGTTATTGTTTTCATTACTAAAATGGCATAATTCCCTATGTAACATTCTGGGATTTCTTTTTCACTTTTTGTGTTATGTTGTTAAAATTCATCTCAGGCTTGATGCAGGTAGCTGCATTTATTTCTTGTGGCTACTATAGGCAATTTTAATATGTGACTATGCTGACTTTCCTTTTTCCCATGCAACAGAAACTCTTGGTGGCCTGTATTCTCCTTGGCCCCTTGGCCCTGAATATATGGTGGCGAGTCCTTGGGAGCTTCCACTTACTGACAATTTCCGCTGCAAGCACCAGGTCTTGAGCCTCTCCAATTTCTGTTTCAGGGCCTTTTCAAAGCCGCAAGAGCCTTCTGAGCCCTCTCACAGGCATAGCCTGAAAGTAAAGAGAATTAACACAACCCTCAACCAATGGCAGCATGAGCCAAGGAATAAATGCCCCAGCTTCCCATCCTTCAGATGGACAATTCTGGGAGGCATTTTACACACTTTTCAGAGGTCTCCAAAAATCACATTCCCTGTGCTGGCTTTCCCACCTAACCCTGCCTCACTCATTCCTCGACTTTAGACCTGCTGTCCACCACACACATCATCAATTCCCAAATACACAACCTGCAGCCAAGTCCTTGTCTCAGGTTCTGCTTTTGGGGAACCCAAGCTAATACAACCAATTTCCCGATAACGAGTATTGGGTCATTGCAGGTTTCTGTTATTGCAAAAGTGCTACCAAGAACTTTCATGTAAAACCCACTGGTACACAAGTGCAAGAATTTCTCTTTTATATTTATATAGAAATAGAATTATGGTGTCACAATTCTGTTGTGAATGTTCAACTTTACAAGATAATTTCCATTGTTTACCAAAGGGTTTTTGGATTTGTTTTGTTCTGGTTTGATTTTTTTAAAACCAATTTACAATTCTAATAACATTGTATATGAGATTCTGTTGATCCATGTCCTCTCCAATGCATGATATTGTCAGATTTCTTCATTTTTGCCACTCAAATAGACATCAAATGGAATGTAACTGTGGTTTTGACTTGTACCTCTCTGATGATTAATGAAGTCGAACATGTCCTTATGTATTTATTGACCATAAATCTTTCATACTCTGAGAAATGTCTATTCACAGCTTTTGCCCATTTTTCTATTGGTTCATTGTCCTTTCTTCATTAATTTTACTATTTTGGACAATTATGGGCTTTTTCTTTGAACTCAGGTGTTCAGAATTGAATTAATCATAATTTTCATGTAATGGGATATCCCCCCCGCCTCCGCCCCGGTTTCAAAAGTAATGCATGCGGCCGGGCGTGATGGCTGACTCCTGTAATCCCAGCACTTTGGGAGTCTGAGGTGGGTGGATCATGAGGTCAGGAGTTCAAGACCAGCCTGACCAATATGGTGAAACCCCATCTCTACTAAAATTACAAAAATTAGCCGGGCATGGCGGCGCGCCTTTAATCCCAGCTACACAGGAGGCTGAGGCAGGAGAATCACTTGAACCAGGGAGGCAGAGGTTGCAGTGAGAGAAGATCACGCCACTGCACTCCAGCCTGGGTGACAGAGCAAGACTCTGTCTCAAAAAAAAAAAAAAGAGTAATGCACGCATGTTGTAAAAGAAACAAGTAAAGAGTGCAGACATGTTGAACATAGAAAGAAAAGTCCTTTTTACTCAGCTCCACTCACCTCCAGGCAAGAATAACTCTCATGGACAATTTGTCATTCCATGTTTTTAGATTTTTGTTTTCACATCTGTCTCCCTAATTAGACTGAGAGTTTCTCAAGGGTAAATACTGTGTGTATTCATCTATGTATTCCCAGCCCTGGGCATAATGCCTGGTTCAGATCAGGAATGAAACACATTGTTGTTGAATTAACTGCTAAAAGATGAATTAGAACATAGGCTTTGAAGTTGGGAGACTTTGGTTTGCCTGGGGCAGAGGATTCAAGCAGGAGAAGAATGGGAGTACTGGTAAAGTGTGCTGGGCTTTGATTACTGAAAGCCTTGGCTATTGGGCCAGAGTATTTGATTTTTATCTTGGAGGCAGTGGGGTGAGGGCATTCAAGACTTTTTAGGTAGAGGAAATTTATTTATTCATATATATGAGTATGAATAATTTGTATATATGAATAAATAAATAAATATATTTTGTTTGTTTGTTTCAGACAGAGTCTCACTCTGTTGCCCAAGCTGGAGTGCAGTGGTATGATCTCGGCTCACTGAAACCTCTGCCTCCCAGGTTCAAGTGATCCTTTCAGCTCAGCCTCCCTAGCAGCTGAGATTACAGGTGCATGCCACCGCACCCGGCTAATTTTTGTATTTTTAGTAGAGATGGGGTTTCGCTCTGTTGGTCAGGCTGGTCTTGAACTCCTGACCTCAAGTGATCTGCCTTCCTCAGCCTTCTAAAGTGCTAGGATTACAGGCGTGAGCCACTGTGTCACCTGGCCTATTCTTATGTTTTTACCAGCAACAGAATTAAAACAAGACATTGACAATCTAGTCATCTACTGGCATTGTACAGGATGTAAGGGGGAGTGGAAGGGGGAAAATGAAACTGGAGACAGAAAAATGAATGAATCAAGCAGCTGCGGCCGAACGCTGTGGCTCACACCTGTAGTCCTGTATTCTGGGAAGCCGAGACAGGCAGATCACTTGAGGCCAGGAGTTCAAGACCAGCTTGAGCAACATGGCAAAAAACCCATCTCTACAAAATAATAATAATAACAACAACAAAAAAAGACAACAAAATTAGCCAGGTGTGGTGGCACACAGCTGTAGTCCCAGCTACTTGGGAAAATCCTTTGAGGCCAGGAGGTTGACAGAGTGAGACTCTGTCTCAAAAAAGTTATTAACTTTTTATGGACACAGACACCTATGAAAAACGCATGAGAACTGTAGCTTCTTTCAGAAAAGTAGACGTAAACCTAAGCCTCTACACTTCTTGAGAATCTCTGGATTAGTGAGTCATTCTAAGAGTGAAAGAATAAGAACCCGCAACGTGTATTTATTCAGTCAGACATATTTATTAACCCCCTATTGTGTATGTGCAAGGCACTGAGCTGAGTGCTGGGAACAGATGCCATCCAGCATGAGGCATGCAGTGTGGTATGGCATGGCAGTCAAGGGCACAGACCCTGAGCCCAGCTCTCTGGCTTCAAACCGCTGCCAGGTGACCTTGTTTAACAAAACACCTGTACTCCTTTGCTGTTTTATAGGGACAATACTGATACCATCCTCAAGGGCTGCAGTGAAGAGTAAATGAATGCTTCATGAGAGCTTGGGCTTGATGGCAGAAATGAGGGAGGAGAGAGAGGGCAATGACTATCAGGGGAAGGGAGGGCAAGGAAGAATTTTAAAGGATGACAAGGGGGATACGGTAGAGCAAGAGAGGCTGCAGATGCATCACTCATGATCTGTTCTCTCCCCTAAGGGGGACCAAATGGTGGGAGAGGAGAGATCTAGAGCAAATATGGAGAGGCTGGGTCAAATGGTGGAGGGGGGGCATCTAGAGCAAAGGTGGAGAGGCTGGCGTTAGCTAGGAAGATACTTCCGCTTGTGAGCTGGAGGGGAGGAGTCAAGCGTGGGTGCAGGTGCTGACTTTAAAGTAACCGCAGGCAAGAGGGAAGGAATGTCACCAAAGGGGGAGGGGTGAGGAGAAAGGAAAAGGTGTGACATACAACTTTTCAAAGAGGGGATCCAGGAAGATGGAAGTGTCAGGAACTATTCGGGACTGGTGAGCTGATAAGGGATACTGATCTGCCTGGTTGGGTAACTTCTGGTGGTCAGGGGAGCTACAGGAGAAAAGCATTAAAAAAAAAAAAAAGGCCAGGCGCAGTGGCTCAAGCCTGTAATCCCAGCACTTTGGGAGGCCGAGGCAGGCAGATCACGAGGTCAAGAGATCGAGACCATCCTGGCCAACATGGTGAAACCCCATCTCTACTAAAAATACAAAAATTAGCTGGGCGTGGTGGCGTGCATCTGTAGTCCCAGCTACTCGGGAGGCTGAGACAGGAGAATTGCTTGAACCCGGGAAGCAGAGGTTGCAGTGGGCCGAGATTGTGCCACTGCACTCCAGCTTGGCACCTGCTGACAGAGTGAGACTCTGTCTACATATAAAAAAAAAAAAAAAAAAAAAAAAAAAGAAGAGGTGGGGTGGGGGAAGCGGTGAGCGCAGGATGTCATAGTGGTGAAATCCGGAAGAATAGACAGATGGGGAGGTTGGGCATGGTGGCACATGCCTGTAATCCAAGCATTTTGGGAGGCCAAAGCAGATGAATTGTTAGAGCCCAGGAGTTCAAGACCAGCTTGCAATATGGAGAAACCCAGTCTCCATAAAAAATTAGCCAGGTGTGGTGACACGTGCCTGTAGTCCGAGCTATTTGGGGGTCTGAAGTGGGAATATCGCTTGAGCCCAGCAGGTGGAGGCTGCAGTGAACCATGATCATGCCACTGCACTCCTGTCTGGGTGACAAAGTGAGACCCTATCTCAAAAAAAAAAAAAAAAAAAAGAAAGAAAGAAAGAAAGAGAGAGAGATTTGGCAAGGTGGCTCACGCCGGTAATCCCAGCACTTTGGGAGGCCAAGGCAGGCAGATCACCTGAGGTCAGGAATTCAAGACCAGCCTGGCCAAATGGTGAACCCCATCTCTACTAAAAAATACAAAAATTAGTTGGGTGTGGTGGCAGGTGCCTGTAATCCCAGCTGTTCAAGAGGCTGAGGCAGGGAGAACTGCCTGAACCCGGGAAGCAGAGGTTGAAGTGAGCCAAAATTACCCCACTGCACTCCATACTGGGCAACAGAGCAAGATTCCGTCTCAAAAAAAAAAAAAAAAAAGAGAGAGAGAGAGATTTGCTGCATTTGCCAACCCACTGGTCTTTACTGAAGTATCTTAAGGGTCACTATAGTGTCACAGCAGATGATACATGGCAGAGAAGAAAAGGGAGAAATAACAGTGAGGCAGTAAACCATATGCAGCCTGAGAACACTGACTCTGCAATGAAAGGGAAAAGTAAGATATTAACCAGAAAGAATAACAGAGTGAACTGAGGCATATTTTTCTTTCTAAAGGTCAGGAAAGCTCTCCTTCTACTTCTCCTTCTCCTCTTTCTCCTTCTCCTCCTTCTTCTCCTTCTCCTGCTCCCGCTCCCCCTCCCCCTCCCTCTTCCCCTCCCAACTCCCCGTCGTCCTCCTCCTCCTCCTCCTCTTCTCCTTCCCTTTCTCCTTCTCCTCCTTCTTCTTTTAAGGTAAAGGCAGAAGTTTTAGAGCTGGCAGAGGGAGGAGTAGGGCTTCAAAAACTCAGCTGGAGGCCATGCACAGTGGCTCATGCCCATAATTCCAGCATTTTGGGAGGCCGAAGTGAGTTATCACTTGAGGCCAGGAGTTCAAGACCAGCCTAGCCAACATGGCAAAATCCCATCTCTACTAAAAGTACAAAAAAAGTTAGCTTGGCACTGGATTCCAGACTGGGTGACAGAGCAAGACTCTGTCTCAAAAAAAAAACAAAAACAATTGAGTTGGAGTATGATGCCAGTGTAATACCGTCATAATTAGCTTCTCTGGGCCAGATGTTTTCCAAAGAATATGTTATTCCCTTGGAGGAAACCAAGGCCCAGAGAAGGTAAGTCATTTGCCCAAGATCATGCTGCTAGTTAATGGCAGAGCCAGGATTTGAACCCAGGTCATACGACTCCAAAATACCAAAGCTTACCTGCGTAATACAAGAGACAAGCAGAAAAGTTAGCACTAAGAGGGAGAAGGGATACTTCTGTCAGCACTGAGGAAGGAAGAAAGGACTGGAAGAGACATGTATACTAATGATTTATGTTTATTGTTTAGAATTATCCTCCTTCCCACACGAATATGTAAGAATTTAGATTTTTTAAAATTTCTTTTGATTTGTTTTGTCTTGTTTTTCAGATGGAGTCTCACTCTATTGCCCAAGCTGTTGTGCAATGGTGCAATCTCGGCTCACTACAACCTCTGCCTCCCAAGTTCAAGTGATTTTCATGCCTCAGCCTCCCGAGAAGCTGGGATTACAGTCACCCATCACCATGACCAGCTAAATTTTTTGTACTTTTAGTAGAGATACCATGTTGGCTAGGCTGGTCACAAACTCCTGACCTCAAGTGATCCACCCTCCTTGGCTTCCCAGAGTGCTGAGATTACAGGCATGAGCCACTGCACCCGGATGATTTTTTAAATTTCTTTTGAGACAGGATCTCACTCTGTCACCCAGGTTGGAGTGCAGTGGTGCAGACAGAGCTCACTGCAGGCTGAGACTACTGAACTCAAGCAATCCTCCTGCCTCAGCCTTCTGAGTAGCTGAGACTACAAGTGTGCATCACCACATACAGCTAATTTTTGACATTTTTAGTAGAGATTGGGTCTCACTATCTTGTTCAGGCAAGTCTTGAACTCCTCAGCTCAAAAGATCTTCCCACCTTGGTCTCCAAAAGTGCTGGGATTATAGGCGTGAGCCACTATGCTTGGCTGAAAGTGTATTGATTTTTTAAGTTGGCATGACCTGTTTATATGACCAACTGCTTTAAAAAAAAATTGGCAGTCTAGAGTGATGGCTCACGCCTGTAATCCCAACACTTTTGCAGGCTGAGGTGGGTGGATCACTTTGAGGTCAGGAATTTAAGACTGGTCAACATGGTCAAATCCCTAACACTACTAAAAAAAAATTTTTTTAATTAAAAAATAGCCAGGTGTGGTGGCAGGTGCCTGTAACCCAGCTACTTGGGAGGCTGAGTCAGGAGAATTGCTTGAACCCCGAGGCAAAGGTTGCACTGAGCCGAGACCATGCCGTTGCACTCCAGCATGGGTAACAAGAGCCACAAAAAAAAAAAAAAAAAAGGGCCAGGCACAGTGGCTCACACCTGCGCTCCCAGCACTTTGGGAGGAGTACAGGTGGATCACGAGGTCAGGAAATCAAGACCATCCTGGCTAACACGGTGAAACCCTGTCTCTACTAAAAATACAAAAAATTTGCCGGGCGTGGTAGGACGCACCTGTAGTCCCAGCTACTCGGGAGGCTGAGGCAGGAGACTTGCTTGAAACTGTGAGGCAGAGGTTGCAATGAGCCAAGACCGTGCCACCAAACTCCAGCCTGGGTGACAGAGCAAGACTCCATCTCAAAAAAAAAAAAAAAAAAAAAAAATTAGCTGGGCATGGTGGCAGGTGCCAGTAATTCCAGCTAACCGGGAGGTTGAGGCAGGAGAATGGCTTTAACCTGGGAGGTGTAGGTTGCAGTGAGCTGAGACTGTGCCACTGCACTTCAGCCTGGCTGATAAAGCAGGCCTCCATCTCAAAAAAGAAAAAACCAACACAAAAAATTAGCATGATCCGGCCGGGCGTGGTGGCTCACACCTGTAATCCTAGCACTTTGGGAGGCCGAGGTGAGTGGATCACCCGAGGTCAGGAGTTCAAGACCAGCCTGGCCATCATGGTGAAACCGCATCTTTAAAAAAAATTAAAAAAGAATTTTAGAAAAATTGGCACGACCCAGAAAGTCTGAGTTTACATAGAAAAAATTCAAGCAAAGAACCAAGCTGACCTTCTGTGGTCAGAGAATAAACTGAACATGGCCAAGAACGCTAAAGCTGAGTATGTGGAACAATGGTGGGGCTTGGTTCACCCAGCCCTCTACCCAAATGGTTGCTTCACAGGAGAATCAGTCCTCCGTTAATACTCCCTTAATTCAAGAGAATGAAAGGGAAAACAGTTTGCACATACTGGCAAGTTGTTTATTGCAACTACAAGGATTTTATGATGTATGTCTCATCTATCAGTATTATCTGATGAGTGACTTCAAAATATCTGTCTAAAGAACAGACCTCATTTATTTTTGCCAAACTTCCACATGCAAAAAATGCAGAGAAACCCAAAACCAAACCATAAAGCAAAGGGATCTGCACAGTTTCATGGGCAGGTCACAGGCTAGAACGAGAGACATAAAAACTGATAGCCATAGTGAGCAAGCTGGGCAAACAGGACAAGGACTAGCACATGGTGAGGGTTCACTCCTGCTGTGACACCAATGCTGTAGTCCCAGGGGTTACACCAAAAGGTGTTGACAAAATGCTAAGGTTCCAGGGCCTCTAGTAGACCAGGAAAAGACTGGAAAAGCAGATCTGAGCAAAAAGGAGGTAGCCATCTGACTCAGCTTGAAAATTAACCTCTACATGCCAAGCTCCCCTATTTCTCAGGAAAATCCTGTTTATCACAACATACTTGGTATAAAAATATACCAAAATGGCCAGATGCAGTGGTTCAAGCCTGTAATCCCAGCACTTCAGGAGGCTGAGGAGGGCAGATCACCTGAGGGCATGTGCCTGTAGACCCAACTATTTGGGAGGCTAGGCCTGAGGCTGCAATGAATGAACTTCAATCACAGCAATGCACTTCCGCCTGGGCAACAGAGTGAGACTCTGTGTCTAAAAAGTAAATAAATAAGTTACATAAAAAACAAATGAAGTTAATTTTAATAATATACTTTAGCTCAATATGTCAAAACTATTACTTGCACAGCAAAAAAAAAAAAAAATTAACAGAGTAAACAAACAACCTACAGAATGGGAGAAAATATTTGCAGATTATTCATCTGACAAAGGACTAATATCCAGAAACTACAAGGAAGTCAAACAACTCAACAACAAAAACAACTTCATTAAAAAGTGGGCAAAGAACACGAACAAACATTTCTCAAGAGAAGACACACAAGCACCCAACAACATATGAAAAAATACGCTACGTCACCAATCCTCAGAGAAATGCTAATTAAAATCACAATGAGATACCATCTTACACCAGTCGGAATGGGTATTATTAAGCCAGGTGCAGTGGCTCAGGTCTGTCAGCACTTTGGGAGGCTGAAGGAAGGATTGCCTAAACCCAGGAGTTTGAGGGAGACACAGGGAGACTGCATCTCAACAAAAAATAAATTTAATTGGCCAGGCATGGTAGCTTATGCCTGTAATCCCAGCACTTTGGGAGGCCTAGGCAGGTAGATCACTTGAGGTTAGAAGTTTGAGACCACCCTGGCCATATGTGGTGAAACCCTGTCTCTACTAAAAATACAAAAATTAGCTGGGCATGATGACACGAGCCTGTAATCCCAGCTACTCAGGAGGCTGAGGCAGAAGAATCACTTGAACCTGGGAGGCAGAGTTTGCAGCAAACCGAGATTGTGCCACTGCACTCCAGGCTGGCAACAGAGCAAGACTCTGTCTCAAAAAAAAATAATAATAATTAATTGATTAATTAGCCAGGTGGGCAGGGCGCAGTGGCTCACACCTGTAATCCCAGCACTTTAGGAGGCCGAGGCTGAGGTGGGCGGATCACAAGGTCAGGAGTTTGAGACCAGCCTGGCCAACATAGTGAAACCCCATCTCTACTAAAAATAAAAAAATTAGCCGGGTGTGGTGGCACGTGCCTGTAGTCCTAGCTACTCGGGAGGCTGAGGCGGGGGAATCACTTGAATCTGGGAGTCAGACTTTGCAGTAAGATGAGACCACACCATTACACTCCAGCCTGGGGAACAGAGTGAGACTCTGTCTCAAAAAAAAAGAATTAGCAGCCAGGCATAGTGGTTGGCACCTGTAGTCCCAGCTACTCTGGAGGCTGGAGCAGGAGAATCACTTGAGCCTGGGAGATCAAGGCAGCAGTGAGCCATGATGCCATCACTGCACTCCGGCCTGGGCAACAGAGTGAGACCCTGTCTCAAAAAAAAAAAAATGATAGGCCAGGCACAGTGGCTCATGCCTGTAATGCCAGCACTTTGGGAGGCTGAGGTGGATGGATCACCTAAGGTCAGGAGTTCAAGACCAGCCTGAAGAACATGGAAAAACCCCATCTCTATTAAAAATAGAAAATTAGCCAGGTGTGGTGGCACATGCCTGTAATCCCAGCTACTCAGGAGGCTGAGGCAGGAGACTTGCTTGAACCTGGGAGGCAGAGGTTGCGGTGAACCAAGATCGTGCTATTGCACTCCAGCCTGGGCAACAAGAGCAAAACTCTGTCTCAAAAAGAAAAAATGATAACAATGGATATTATTAAAAAGTTAAAAAAAAAAGAGAGAGAAGGAGATGTTGGCAAGGATATAGAGAAAAGGGAATACTTCTACAGTGTTGATAAGAATGTAAATGAGTCCAACTTCTGTGGAAAACTATGGAGATTTCTCAAAAAACTGAAGACACGGCCAGGCACGATGGCTCACTCCTGTAATCCCAGCACTTTGGGAGGCCAAGGTGGGTGGATCACGAGGTCAGGAGATCAAGACCATCCTGGCTACCACGGTGAAACCCCATCTCTACTAAAAATACAAAAAATTAGCCAGGCGTGGTGGCATGAACCTGTAATCTCAGCTACTCAGGAGGCTGAGGCAGGAGAATCGCTTGAACCCGGGAGGTGGAGGTTGCAGTGAGCCGAGATCATCCCAGTGCACTCCAGCCTGGGTGAAAGAGAGAGACTCCATCACAGAAAAAAACATAAAAAAACCTTAAAGACATAACTGCATTCTACCCAGAATCCCACTACTGAGTATATACCCCTCCAAAAGAAATTGTTATATTTAAAAAAAAGACACCTGGCCAGGCGAGGTGGCTCATGCCTGTAATCCTAGCACTTTGGAAGGCCAAGGAGTGGAGTGCCTGAGCTCAGGAGTTCTAGACCAGCCTGGGCAACACAGTGAAACCCTGACTCTACTAAAATACAAAAAATTAGCCACGCATGGCAGCGTGTGCCTGTAATCCCAAGTACTTGGGAGGCTGAAGCAGGAGA